TTGTGGTTATGCAATAGGTTTGTAATCTTTCCCCAACATTATCTTGTGCATGTAATTCTCTTTCAAATCAGAGATATGCCACCCGATTGGTTCTTGATTTGGTTTCAAAATTGCAACCAATTTATGCTCTTCTGTGTTGGACAAAGAACCAATAATGATCATCGACTTCTTCACTCCCTCTTTCAACAAAACATATTTGAGGTGAGTCGGTAACATCATAAGCTCCAATTAGTTTTTATCAACTTATTTTTTTACCAACTTCTCCTCTTCATCAGTTGTGGATATTTCTTGAATATTTTCCAATTGTTTTGTCACCTTTTCCACTTCGTGTTCCTATTCTACGTGGAGATCTTCACAAGCCTCAATCAAAACTCTCTCCAATTGAGATTTCAGATGCATTTGAGTCTTCATGACTTCAGTCACTGCATTTATTTCCTCCACTTTATAGCAATTACCATCATCTTTAGGATACTACATTACTTCAAGAACATTAAAGGTGTTCATCTCATCTTGCACACACAACTTTAGGTGACCATCATCAACATCAATAATCACTCTAGTTGTCTTCATAAATTGTCTAACTAGAATGAAAGGGACCTCAATATCTTCCTCTATATCAAGAATGACAAAATTCACTAGGAAAATGAATTTGTCCACCTTTACAAGTACATCTTTAATGACTCCATATGGGCTTTTGACGGACTGATCTGCTAGCTATAAAGTCATCCTTATTGGTTCCACCTCTAAGTATTCAATCCTCTTCATCATAAACAATGGCATCAGATTAATACTAGCTCTCAAATCAATCAAAGGAATAGTCAAATTCCTAATTGTGGAAGGAACCGTGAAGCTACTAAGGTCTTTGAACTTTGGTGGTAATAACTTTTGTATTATAGCACTACAATTCCATTCAAGTCTTTCATGAATCTCGCATAAGAAGACATAGTGCTACTAAAAAAGGAATGTTGATCTCAAACATTTTGAAAATATCCATGAATTAAGCAAACTACTTCCCATTTTCCTTTCTTGATTGGACTTGTGGGTATGGAAGTGATTTTCCACACCTTTATCTTTTGTTTTTCTCCTCCTCTCTCTTATTTTGAATTTCTTTCTCAACTCCTTCCTCATTCTTCTCAATCATTTTCTCTCTACTCTTAATTTTTTCTTCATTTTTTTCAATCTTTCTTTTTTTCCAATCTCTCCTGTAACACCTTTCCACTCCGTTGTGATAGTCTTATAGTGCTCCTTTGGGTTGACCTTAGTGTTGACTGTAAAACTTCTATCCAATATTTCCCCCAGCTTTTGCTCCAACTCACCCACTTAAGTATTAAAATTACGAATTGAGGCTTCTGTGTTTTTGTGATTGGGCATGGAAACTTGTATGAATTGTTGAAGTGTCTCTTTAAGCTTTGACACCCTTTCATGCAAGGAATGTTGTTGTTTTTGTTGGTTTTGTTGATGTGGTGGTCTATTTAAAGATTCAACTTGTCCCATGCTTGGTTGAGACTTCCATCCTTTATTATAATTCCCTAATTAGCTTGGTGACCATAATTACCCATATAATAGACTTCTTATTGGGAAATATTGTCCATAGCACATTGCCCATTGGCACAATCTCCACCATATAATCATAACTTTGAAATTGTTGTTGATGTTGAGCTTGAGAAACATTTTGGAGCTCTTGAGGAAGTGCTGAGAGTGTCTCTGTAAGAGCTTCTAATGAGTCATCAATTTATTTTGAGCTAAAAACACATCATGAATTTCAAGCTCCAATACACCTTTTTTTAGACTTGAACTATTTCCTTTTACAGTTCAAAATCATTGGAGGCCATATTCTTTATCATCTCCTAAGGTCTTCAGGTGTCTTTGATTTTATCATACTTTGGCTGACTTATCTAACATTAACTTTATTTGCACTCTCAATCTCCCCAAAAGGATGTTGATATATGTTGGCTCATCAAATCCATGAATATGAGTCTTCCTAAGCAGTTCTTTGAATTTATCCCATGGCTGACTCAATAATTCATCATACTCTTAGTGAAATAAAGTAATCTCCTATTTCCCTTTACTAACCTTTGATTGAGGAAAGAATTTCTGTAGAAATTTTGTAACAACCTCATCCCATATAGTCGGGCTATTCTCAGGAAAATAGTGTAGCCACACCTTTGTGTTGCTTGTTAATGTAAGAAGGAAACAAACTTAGACGAATAGCTTCATCAGGTACCTGGTGAATCTTGATTGTGTTACAAATCTCCAAGAATGTAGGAAGGTGAGTGTATGAGTTCTCACGATGTAATCGATTGAATTGTTCTGCACTAGATGAATAAGAGCATACTTCATCTCCACGTTGGTTGCATTCATCACTGACTTGACAACGCTATTGAAATTCAATGTCTCTGTGAATGTTGAATAATCTCCTAAGGTACATTGTCTCAGACCCCGCTCAGCTATATCTACCTCTTCTTCTTGATCTGATGGCCTAAGATGAGAGAAATCTTATACGATTTAAGCTTTTATTCCTGAGGCTTCTTGTGCTTCCTTGAAAAGTTTCTTTCACATGTTGTTATTCCTGAGTTGTAAGGTCAATTTCAGGATTGTAAACTAATTGATCAGTCAAAATCCCACCTCTTACACAAAACAACATAACACTACTAGGGACGAGTTAATAGTTAATAATTTCTTTATATAGAAAAAAGTAAACTATACACAAAAGTAAAAATAAAATAATCATATAAACAAATTATGAACAATTTAAACCAAAAATGGTAAATGAAACTCAATTGACTAAAAAAAAGTCAGTCCCCAACAACAGGATGAAAAACTTGTTACAATATTGGCAAATGTACCAAATAGTGCAAGTAATAAAATAAAAAGTCCAAATATCATTTTTCTTAAGAAACTCGCGTTTGTTAAGAAAAACTATGATTATTTACTAATTATGATTATTTACTAATTAAGGCTAGAAACTTTGATATAATGAAAAGTATTGATTTTTATATAAAATAATTTTAAATTCTATAAAGTCATTAAATAAATGAAATTAACTATGTGAGAGAGAGTTCACCAAGGTTAGATTTCATGTATCAATTTAATGTGAAAACACTAAACAATATACCTTGAATTTTTATTCTAGCATTTGCACCATAAGCAAACAAGTCCTAATTTTTTAGAGGTAAGTCTAAGCTTTAATAATTAAAACTCTAATCTCTTAGATGTTTTTATCAAAAGTTGGTATTAAATTTAGATGTTTCTAAGGACTAATTGATTAAACTCTATGTCTAGAGACAAAATCTATTAGCTATTATATCCCAATCAAGCTTCTAACTAATTTCCCAAATACTAGATATCATTAAATAAGTAATCAATAAATGCAATTAAGATAAAAAATAAAACATAAGAGTAATGAAAAAGAAGAATATTAAATAGCAAAAATAGAAAGAGTGAAAATACATTACATCTAAACCTAATGAATAAGGGGTAAGTTACTTAATATTTTACTCTTAGACATTCTGAACACTAAAAAGGGAGATAGATTATGAAAATAATGGTGATAATAAGTGACTCCAACCTCTTGAATAAGCTATTGTTCTTTTCCTCTTAGGGTTAGTTCTCTATCCCCTAAAATATTAATTTCTAAAAGTGTTACGCATTCTATTTAATGATTTTCGAAAACGAATTGAGTTTGCTCACTAAATGAATGCACTAAATTGTACTAGATCTGAAAATTGTAAATGAATGAATTGTAATTGATAATCCTTTTATATATATATATATATATATAATGTTTCATCTTCTTATATTTCTCTATCTTTAATATATTATTTAAATGTATTGAGATTTTCATATCTTTGTTATATTTCAGATCTTTTAAGATTTTCACTTGTTCTACAAAATATTTCACAAATAAATTTAAATACTTATTATTTTCAATTATTTAATAAATCCATAATTATTTAATAATAACAATAAAAAAACCAATAAAAAATAAACATAATAAAAAATATGATAATGCCAATTACAGTTTTGAAAATAACATGATGCCTTAAAACGTAATAATTAATTATAATTCCTTCCTGGATAATGAAAATCAGTGTAGAAATAAATATATTAATGATTTATAATTTGACTACGAATTCTTATCATCCATTCCTTCTTGACAGCTAATAAAAATATTAATACAATGTCTAAAAAAAAGTATATAATTAATCTAATTATTTAAAACATAATTGAATACATCTATTAAGGTAATACTGAACATAATATTTAACTATAATTCCTCCATGACCACAATTTAGAATTATAATTAGTTTGATATGATTCATTTATTAGAAACGCAAATGATTACAATTCAGTATTGTAATTTTTCAAATAATGTAACGCATTTGAGCGTAATAATTAATTATAACTGCTCCCTCTTAATAACAATCAATAATTTTAGAAATAAATGTAATAATGATTTATAACTGTTCTTATATAGAATTTGAACACGGATTTGTGGACAGGTGACTAGCATTTAGTGGTAGCTTTGAACGTGTTTGTCGTTGGGAACGAATATTTTTGCCATTCTAAAGAATATTCAAATGTAAAAGGCTCTTTTCAACATTTAAATTAGTAAAAAAATAGAATTTTATATAATTGAGTATATAACGGTCTATAATAGAATATGAGTGTATTTAAATTTTGAAAATATTAATCATATATATAGAATTAACATAGACTTTAAACCTATGTTTCTAATAAAATCATATTTATCTAACAATTTAATAAATAATAATATATAAATAATAATCAATATGATAAATAATAATTAATATATCAAACTAATAAGATTTAGTTATAAGATATAAATAGAACTTAAATAAATTTAAGTTCAAACTCCTTAATAATAAAAGACTTTATTGAATCATGTTTTTAATATGTTTTGTTGGGTTAAATAATAACAATAACTTGTCATTTTTTTATTGCGAATTCATATAATATCAAATCCTTCTTGATTGCTAATGGCTATAAAGAGCAATTCCCCAAGGCAATCCATAAGCACTCATCTTATTTGATAGACGGATCCTGAAGAAGAAATGATCAAGGTATTGTTATTTGTATTGTGGTTGGCAAATAGCCATGATATTTACAAAACTCATGCTATTCAAAAAGATGATTTGGAGATAGAAAGAGAGTTACAAGTCATTAATAAGCCCTCTCTCAAGAGTATTCAAGTACGTATTCTTCCTCTATTTCATTCTACTTTATAATAGATATGATTAATTTTTTTATATTCTCTATTTTTAATTTTATAGACAGAGTTTGGTTATATTGTCGATTGTGTTGATATTTACAAACAACCAGCATTTCATCATCCTTTGTTAAAAGATCACAAGTTACAGGTACACTTTCTTTCATTAATATCTTTAAACATGTTAACTTTTATTCAATTCTTTTTATAACACTTGTTTTATTTATTTACAGAGAAAACCTAGTTTTGTAAACTCATCTGAAAAGACAAGTACGAAGAATTCATCTAATGAAATCATATTTGGACTCCAAAAAGAAAAATGTCCAATAGGAACCGTTCCCATTCGAAGAATAACAAAAGATGATCTCGTCCAAGGAAAATCGTCGTTCTATAATCAAAGCATGACCCAAGATTTTTTGGGTGCTCATGTAAGATTTTTCTTGTACAATATACTCAAAGATTTTCTAATTGTATTTTTACAAAATGAATGCATCATAACTAATGTTTTTTCTTTAAATCTATCAAATTTTGTAGTTTGCTGAAGTATATCTCAAATCAAATCATGGTCCTTATTACAAAGTTACAGGAAGCAACAGCGTCTATAATCCAAAAGTGTCAAGAGATCAAACAAGCATGTCTCATATATGGGTTCAAAATGGACCAACAGAAAGCACTAACAAAATCAGTTTTGGATGGCACGTGAGTTTTAATTGACACAACTATTCTATGTAAAAGAAATGTATCTACTGATATTTATCATTAAATTTGTGTTAAAGGTGGCTCCGAAAGTATACGGTGGCAATACTGGAACTGTTATCTACTCTTCATGGACGGTAAGAAGAAACCGATTTACTTATAAAATTAGATATTATGCTATATAATAAATAACCTAATTTACATATTTAAATAATATATATATATAATTGTTACAGAGAGATAATCATAAGAAGACAGGATGCTACAATCTGCAGTGTTCTGGTTTTGTTCAAATTCATGGAGAACAGTACCTTGGTGCAGTAGTGCCTCGTACGTCTGTCGGAGGAACAATAATTGAGTATACATTTTCTATCAGTCAGGTTATGTTGAGGCTTACACAACTTTACTCATAATTATGTAGAACTTGCATTATTTGTGATGTTAAAAATGACATTGTATACATTTTCAGGATCCAAAAACGAAAAATTGGTGGTTAAATATTGGGGGAAAAGATGATAAGAGGATTAATATTGGATATTATCCAGCAAAATTATTCTCGAACATGGGGTCAGCTGATCAGGTGGGATGGGGTGGAAGAACAGTTACCCTTTCAGGAACTCGGAGTCCTGAAATGGGATCTGGATATTTTCCAGATCCCAACATTGGTCGTGCTTGTTACTTTAGGATGGTCTCCTTTCAAAATGAAAAAAGAACAGATCTTGGACCTGAAAAAGAAATGGTAAGCAAATTTGTCGACAGGTCCCAATGTTTCAATGCGGAATACTTTGGGCTTGGAAAAAACAAAATACTTGGATATTATCTAGAATTTGGGGGACCTGGTGGCAACTGTGGCGATTGATCATAGCAAGATACAATTATCTAAGGACTTCAAAAATCAATGAATAAAAGCATTTTAATTCATCCATCATAAAAAATTAAGAATTTTCAACGTTAGCTTCGATTACTTTAATTTACTGTTGGGCCTCGTTTTATTTTCTGCATGCCCCACTTCCTTTATTTCGTTTATGCGCTCTGCTTTCTGCACCACGGGTTTCTCCAGCACATCCATTCCCCATGTGTGTAGCTTTTTCTCGTTGCACACAAACTTTTTATGTACTCCCATACTTTTATTTCCAGTTTTATCCCTTTTTTTTTCAAATTAATCTCTACATTTCACACATTCTTTCTTTTTATTTTTCTCACCTTTTCATTTTGTGGATCTTTATTTCATTTTCTTTGGGTTTTATTTCATTTCCACTCTATTAACCTTTTGCATCTCTCTTTTCTAAAAAATAATAAAAATATTACAATTGAAATAAAAATGATGAAAAGTAGTTTTATATATGATAAAAAAGTGAAAATAAAATAAAAATGATTTTTTTTTGCTTTTCCTTTTGATTCAAGTCAATTGTCCGTGTTGCATGAGACTCATTTTCTAATACCTCAAAAATACAAAAAAGAATATAAAATTTTCAAGATGTTAGATGCTAAAAAAACCCACTCTTAAGATTCTGTTATATAAAGAAATCTTGAGAGTAACTAATATTCCAATTATTTAATTAAAAAAATATTAAAATGGTTGTCATTTGTAAAACATGTGAAGATGAAGATGATAAGCAAAATTGTATAAGTAAAGTGCAGCTAATGGTAAAGATTTTTCTTTCAAATTTGGGATAATGTACTAATTCATTTTTTCACAAAATTTCCCAAAAGATACAAAGTAACTTTTTGTGAGCTTATATATGATTTGATATATACTGGAAATTGTGAAAGTATGTGTGATGGTTTCCATGATTTCAGAATTTAATATGTAAGGAGAATGAGATACGTTTTTGAAATTAAGATTTCATCAAATCCATATGAAATTTTCATGTGTCAAAAAGAAGATATCTTCATGATATTTTGTTTCGATTTGACATAAATAATTATAATGAAGTCAAAGAATCCAATGTTTTTATTAACGTTTTCTGTTTTAGGTTGATTGTTCCTCAATGGGAGCAATTGGTTGTTAGGGTTAGTTTTTCTATTATGAGAAAGAGTTTTTCTAACCGTAATTCCTCTTCTTTCTCTGTGTTTCAAGAATCCTATATATATAGGGTTCCTTCCCCCCTTTTCTCCTCTTGCACAAAATATACAGAAATATTATTGAATGTTAAAAGTTCTTACCTTTCTTTGCTACTTCTTCTTCTCCTGGGTCTTGTTGTTTCTCTTTCTCTACACCTTGATTCAGCTTCTCCAGGAAATGTGTTTCTGTCATGGAGGTCTCCAGAACCTTTGCTGCTTCCGCACGTGAGTCTCTCTCCACGTTTTATCATATATGCTACTTTAATATGGTATTAGAGCAGGTATACTTGTTCTGCCTCTGCTGCGCTCTGTTCTTGGTTTCTTTCCTACTCTCTTTGTTGTTCTTGGATCATGGAATACACAGACTAGACCAATAATCCTTCCAGCCCTTTCTATCTACATCCAGGAGAGAATCCTGGTCTCACTCTCATTTCTTAGGTCCTTAATGAGACCAATTATGCTTCTTGGAGTAGAAACATGAGAAGAGCTCTACTGTCCAAGAACAAGTTAAAATTCATTGATGGAGGGATCAAAAGACCCCAGAGAGATGATCCTCTTTTTGATTCCTGGGAGAGGTGCAACATGATGGTGCTTTCTTGGATCATCAAGACTCTCTCATCTCAGATTGGAGAGAGTGTTAAATATGCGGAGGATGCCAAAGAGTTATGGGAAGAACTTAAAGAAGGGTTTTCTAAAGGGGACTACTTCAAGATTTCTGATTTGCTTCAAGAGATACACTCCATCAAGCAGGGAGAAAGAACGGTTAGTCAATTTTTCACTAATCTAAAAATCTTGTGGGAAGAATTGGAGTCTCTTAGACCCATACCTTGCTGCACATGTAAAGTTCCTTGCAGTTGTGATCTGTCTAAGACTTTTCACAAATACAGAGAAATGGAGCATGTTGTTTGCTTCTTAAAAGGATTGAATGAATGCTACAATACTGTGAGAACACAAATTTTGCTAATGGAACCTCTTCCTAGTATTAACCGTGTTTTCTCCCTCATCATGCAACAAGAAAGGTAAGAAAGACATGATTATGGAGTCAACAACCAGAATACTGAGATTAAGGTCCTTGCCAACACTATTGTCAAGCAAAACCAGTGGAGAAATGATCAAAGTTGGAAACATAATGGACGTGGAAATGGACCTCACAGTCAAGGAAGAGGAAGATGAAAGAATCCAAACTATGGGAAACAATGTTCCTACTGCCATAAGATGAACCATACAGTGGATGAATGTTACTCCAAGCATGGATATCCACCTTGGTACAAAAAGGGGGATAACAACAGCCAAGAAAAAAAAGGACATAGTGAATGGAATTTTGTCAATTCTGCCTCTGCATAATCACATTCTAACTATGCCCATATCAGCACTAATTTTGCTCCAAATAACTTTACTTCAGAACAAATGCAAAAGATATTACAAATGATAGAGAAGGTTGACAATCCTTCTCACAACATCAGTCAAATTCAGAGAAACACCATAGAAGACAAACAAGGTATGTTTTCCTGGATCATGGACACAGGGGCCACTGATCATGTGACCCATGACAAAAACAACTTTGTTACTTTCCATAAGATTAAACCTATATCTGTTAGGTTGCCCAATAATGACATTGTCACAGCCCATTATGCTGGGACAATTCAATTTTCAAGAGATTTTATTATCTTCAATGTTTTATACGTACCTGAATTTTCTTTCAATCTTATATCTGTCCAAAATTTAACCAGGGACATACACTGCACACTAATTTTTTCTTTTAAGTCGTGTCAAATACAGGACAACTCTACATTGAAGATGATTGGATGTGCTAATGTCTAGAAGGGCCTCTACTACTTGCAATCCTTCCCTGTCTCTGACCAAAATTTAACTATTAAATCTATTTTCTCCTATAAACATGTAAACATAAACTTGTGGCATTATAGGCTAGGACATCCTGTACACAGAATTGTTGAAAAGATATGCAAGAATTTTCCTTATGTTCAAACTGCTTCTAATGATGCTTGTGATATATGTCATTATGCCAAACAACACAAATTGTCCTTTCCTAAAAGTGTTTTTGTTTCTACTAATTGTTTTGAAGTTATACACTGTGATATACGGGGAGCTATCTCCATTCCTTCTATTAATGGGCATAAAACTTTCTCACCATAATTGATGATTATAGGAGACACAGCTGGACTTTTCTTATGCAAAATAAAGGTTAGGCTAGGGATTTATTGTAGAATTTCATTGTTAAAGTTAAAACTCAATTTGACAAAACCATTAAGATCATTAGAACTGATAATGGGCTTAAGTTTAATTGTTCTAATGTGTATGATTCTCATGGTATTGAGAATCGAACTAGTTGTGTTGAAACCCCACAACAGAATTCTGTTGTGGAGAGAAAACACCAACATATATTGAATATTACTCGCAGTTTACTTTTTCAATCTAACATTCCCTATGCTTATTGGTCTTATGCTGTGTCCCATGCCATATACTTAATGAATAGGCTTTCCTCTCCCATTATTAATGGAAGAACTCCTTTTGAAGTGTTATATGATAGCCCTCCTACCTATCTAAACTTAAAGGTTTTTGGTTGTTTATGCTTTGCTACTACATTGGAGAATAACAGAAGTAAATTTGACTCTAGAGCTAGAAAAGGTATTTTTCTAGGATATAAGAATGGTATGAAGGGTTACATTATTCTTGACATTAACACCAGGGAGATCTTTATAAGTAGAAATGTGATTTTTTATGAGGATGTTTTCCCATACATAAGTGAACAAAGCAATAAAGAAGCTCATAATAATGAAGAATATAAAATGTCTTTTCTAAAGATATGTCCTGCAGTTGTGATTCTATCAACAAGCAAAACTTGACTGAGAATGGCAGAAATGGACAAAACAACACTGAGGATGTCAATGTCAGTGCTGAAAACACTAATCCTATGGAGAATGAGGAAGTTCACAGCCAACGAAAATCCAACAGAGTTAAAAGAACTCCTGAATACTTGAAAGATTACCTTCTTGAAGCAGACCAACCTTCATCCACATCTCTATGCATCAAAAAACGGTTTGAAAACTCCTTACCCTATCTCTCATGCTTTATCTTATGAGTCTTTATCTGAAAAACACTTAAAATACACCCTGGCTTTAACTGCCAGAAATGAACCCAATTCATATGATGAAGCTAGAAATAGTCCTGAATGGATAGATGCTATGCAAAAGGATATTAAAGCCTTATAGGATAATAACACCTGGTTTTTGACTCAACTTCCCCATGGAAAGAAGCCTATTGGGTGTAGATGGGTTTACAAAATTAAACATAAAGTTGATGGTACTATGGAAAGATATAAGGCTCGTTTGGTGGCAAAAGGGTATACTCAGCAAGAGGGAAAGACTTTATGGACACTTTTTCTCCTGTTGCTAAACTAACCTCTGTCAGATTATTATTAGCACTTGCTGCCTCAAAAAACTGATTCCTACACCAACTTGATGTGGATAATGCTTTTCTACATGGAGATCTAAAAGAAGATGTTTATATGGAACCTCCAATCGGTCTAGATGCTGACACTAAAGGACAGGTTTGCAAGATGACAAAATCTCTTTATGGCCTAAAGCAGGCTAGTAGGCAATGGTTTGAAAAACTATTTACTTTTCTCATTTCTAAAAATTACATCCAATCAAAATCTGACCATTCTCTCTTCATCAAAAGAACACCTACAGATTTCACTGCTTTGCTTGTGTATGTAGATGATATTGTTTTGGAAGGTAATTCTATGGTTGAAATTACTCACATAAAGACACTTCT